TCGATCAACTGCATCACGAATTCGACCAGTATTTGCTGATGCTGATGTAGTTGTTACAGTCATTGGATTTATTGCACACTGTAAAAAAAAAAAGGTACTTTACCGAACCTTAAAAAAAGGTTCGGTAGATGACGAAAAGCGTGCAAATGTGTTCAATGTTTCAAAAATAGAATAAAAAAATCTACGGAATCTTTAAAGGATCTTACCATGTACCCAAGTGAAGATCCTTTTTTCTTCGAAACCTTTTTAAGTTCCGTAGAAAAAAAAATAGGTTTCGTAGGAAAATACGGAACCTTTAGGGTTTCGCATTAAATGTAATGGTTTTATACAAAACCCAGTGCAAAACCTTGAGGTTTAGTAGAAAACCCTACAGGTTCCGTATTTTCCTACAAAACCTATTTTTTTCTATACGGAACTTAAAAAAGTTTCGAAGAAAAAAGGATCTTCACTTGGGTACACGGTAAGATCCTTTAAAGGTTCCGTAGATTTTTTTATTCTATTTAAGAAACATTGAACACATTTGCACGCTTTTCGTCATCTACCGAACCTTTTTTTAAGGTTCGGTAAAGTACCTTTTTTTTTACAGTACACCAGCTGTAGTTTGAGTCCAATAAGTACTTAATTGAACTTGTAGATTCGTGATTGTAGCACTCGCTTGAGCTATATTACTTGTTAATCGATTGATCCTTTTTCTTGATAAATCGACTATGTTACATCATTACGTTTTTTTGTACGTGTAATGACTTCTTTTGCCCAATGTTTATCTTGTGTGCCAATTTTGAAATATGTTTGCCAAACTTGAAGTTCATAATTATTTCGAACCCATTCATCATATATCGGTGCTGTAGCTAATACACAAGCTTGATTACCACGACCATCAACAATAACTGATGAATTATCTTGCATGTAACGCATTATTTGATTGGATTCTAAATTAATTCGTCGTTTAAGTTTTTTATTATTATTTTTTATCATTTATTCGATTCATTTTGTTTTGTTTCATTTGTTCTTTTTCATTGTGATCAGCAATATCATATTCTGCTATTGATAAAACATCATTTGTTTCATCATCATAATTTGATTCAATATCTGTTGATTAGACTTCTGCGTGACCACGTTTTTTCAGTCACGTCACGTCACGGTCACGAGCTGCCTGGTCACGGTCACGTTCACAGTCACGGAGTTTTTTTGAAACTAGTCACGATCACGTCACGGTCACGAGCTGCCTGGTCACGATCACGGTCATAGTCACGGAAATTTTTCGAAACTAGTCACGGTCACGTCACGGTCACGGAAATTTTGGATTACTAGCTGATTTTTGTGCTACAAAATCAAGATTTATATTGATTTCATATATTTTCTCTGTAAAAAACGCAGAAAACACGTAAATCAATTAAAATCTTGATTTTTTTTCACAAAAATTAGATTTATAATCTCAAAATTTTTCACCATTAAGTCACGATCACGAGCTATTTGGTCACGATCATGAGCTATTTGGTCACGGTCACGATCCCAGTCACGACAATTTTTCGAAAACTAGTCACGAGAGGCCGTGACCGTGACCGTGACCGTGACCGTGACCGTGACCATTTTGCAGAAGTCTACTGTTGATGTATCTATTTGTTCTAATGCAGTAAATCGATTATAATTTTTTTTCATTTTGATCAGTTGTATTATGATATTGTTGTTGAGGAATTCGACGTTGTCGACGTTTATAAGATGCTGTAGTAGTAGTCGTAGTAGTCCGACGTTCTGGTTGATTATACTTCTGTTATAGCTGATGTCCATTCACATTCTTATTTAAGGCCTCCCCCCCCCCTCAAAAATCGATCTCAGCCTAGGAGCGTTCAAATGGGCTGAAATTTGGAGCATCTGTTGGGGCTGAAGTGGGGAGGCTGTGGTAAAATTTTCAGCTCGATATCCCGACGTTTGACAGAGATATGAACCAAAGCAAGGGTCAAAAATAGCGCATTTTCGTTCCAAGATTTCTCGGTTCGGGCTCTGTCAACATATTTAAATTTTTTTTTTGTTTGAAAGAGCATCTCAGGATGCAGGGCAGTATAGAGTCTTTTTTTTAAATTCTTACTTTTTTCGCGGAGAAAGGGGCTCACAAGTTCAATGACTCAAAGAACGCGCCAAAAATGGGTGTTCAGTCGCATACGTGTCTGTCTATATAATAAAAAATAAAGCTTAATTTTAAAAAGGACCCTATATTGCCCTACATCTCGACGCGCTCTTTCAAACAAAAAAAAAATTTTAATATATTGAAAGAGCCTGGACCGAGAAATCTTGGAAATAAAATCAAAAAATCATAAATCGAGAAAAAATGAAAAACATTTTGTGATTTTTCAAAAAACCGCTGGTTTTTCGAATAGGAGTTCTCGAAAAACTTGAAAAATTTTTGGAAAAAATGAGGTATCGAGAAAAACTTTTTATCGCTTATGAAAGAGCAGATAACAGGCTATCTCCCCATGCATTTATCTCAATTTCAAAAATTTTGACGAAAATTGACTTTTTTTGAGGGGGGGGGGGGGGGGGGCCTTAAATTATCATAAACATTGAATGGTTGAGTTGTATCATTTGTTGTTATTGTTT